ACCCTAGCTACCTATACATGAGTGTGATGTAGGACAACGTTGTAAGAACTTTAAAGCTGAATTTCTGTGGGTTTTTATGGTGGTTTAAAGCTAAAATCCAGTGGATAGGGTTGCAATTAATGAATGGAATGAACTAGGTTTAGGTTTGATAAAATGGGAGGAAAGAGATTGAAATCGGGTTGTGAAAATGCTAAAATTTAAGAAAGAAAGAAAGAAAGGAGAAGAAGATAGCTCTAGGAATCACTCCTAGAATCCTTCAGACATTACACCTAGGGTTGGATTGCATCACATAATCTATAAGAAAGCTTCAAAACACTTGAAATTCTCTAAAATATCAACTCTACTGAATTAGAAGCATTATATGAGTTTATATAGACTTTAGAAATTTCTTTAACCAACTAGGATTTCAAAATAGGAATCTACTAAAATTTTGATTTACAAAACCTATCTAAGACCAAATAAGAAACATAGACAAAAAATAATTAAATAACTTGACTCATAAGACGACTCATGGGCGACCCCTACAGGCTACAACTCATGACAACAAATATGAACATTACCAAAATTCTCGACCTAAAAACTCTAAAAACACAAAATAAGAGTCTAAGTAGCTTGAAACCATGGGAATTTTCAAATATTGCCACATTAACTTTGGCTTTTCTTGCTCTCTTGTGGATTGCATGTGTATGTGAAAAGAAGATGACGGAGAGGGGGTTATTGTAGAATTATGCCTATTTAAATATGGTGCATCTTGATGTATTCAATGACTTGTTGTATAGCTTTTTTTGCTGTTTAATTGGTTCCAGGTCCCTATATTGTATGACTTTCAAATTAAAAAGAAAATGTTGAAAATTTTCTTGTAGTGGTTGATATCCCAATAGTGCTATCTCCTAATTTTTGGTGTATTTTGGTCAGTTTTGTTTGTTGATCTATATTGGAAGATGAAAATATGTTAATAAAGCAGGCCACCATTGTCATTTTTGACTTAGTGCCTAAAACTGGTGCTCCATTGAGCTATGAAAGGGTTGATGGAAGAATGTGTAGAGGTTAATTGCTATCAAGTTGTTCCTTGTGGCCTTTGCTATCAAATTATTAGGTTTCTGGACTGTGTCATGTGTTTTACGTTTCAACTTGAAAATGGCGACATTTTTAGTGGTTTTGAAAATTGACGAGATTGTAGGTTTAGAGAAGAGAAAGAGTTAGGGAATGAGTTAGACTTCATCCCTTTTTATGTTGATAATACTGAGTAATTACAAGAGATCCATAAGGCATAATTTAAGGGTCAATCCATTACACCAATCAAGGGAAGAGAATAAGAATAAAATACAATCAATATTATTTCCTATTCTAACACTCCCCCTCAAGATGGTACAAAGATATCTCTTATGCCCAGCTTGTTGAGAATGCCATGAAATGGTTTGCTTCTTAGTCCCTTGGTGAGAATATCGGCTAGTTGGTCTTCAGTCTTCACAAATGGAATACATATGGTGCCACTAGTGAGTTTTTCCTTGATGAAGTGCCTATCAATCTCCACATGCTTAGTTCTATCACGTTGAACTGGATTATAAGCTATGTTGATTGCGGCCTTGTTGTCACAGTATAGTTCTTAGTTGCACAAAGCGGGAGCGGGAGCGGGAGCGGGAGCGGGGGCGGGTGAGCCGATAGAAGTTTCTTAAGTTGGGAGCACCTCGGAGAGCAGTAGTATATATATATATATTAATAGTTATTTTTTAAATATATTTATTATTTTTCCACTTTTTAAATCAAATTTACTAAAAATAACAGCTTGACTAAGTCTTTTAATCAAATCTTTTTTATTGGGAATAAGATATCGAATCCATTCTAAAACTTTATTTAATGGTTTATAATTGATAACTAAGCAAGGGACACCTCGTTCTAATTCAGCATTTTTATTCACATAAAAAGTAGGACATAACCAAGGTGATTTACTTGGACTAATTATTCGATTTTTTAATAGTTCATTGATTTTTTTTTACACATTTCAAGTAATTCATGATTCATTTGAATAGGTCTAGATTTAGTAGGAATTTGATTTTCATGAAAATTCTTAATATATGGTAATGTGACTACATGTTTTTTCCTATGCCAAAATGTCGTAGGTAAAGTAGAACAAACAGTAGTTTCTAATTTTAATTTAAATTCATTAATTTGAGAAATAATAACTGGATTAGTTAATTGTTGATCAATTCTTTTGTAATTAATTTCTTCTTTAAGATATCTTAAATGACGGGTTAATCGATTAATTGTTTGAGAAATAGAACAATCTTTAAATTGATTTAATTCTAATATTTCAGGAGGAGATAAGAATTTAAAAGTAACAGGTTGACCAAGGTGATTTACTTGGACTAATTATTTGATTTTTTTTATAGTTCATTGATTTCTTTTTTACACATTTCAAGTAATTCATGATTCATTTGAATAGGTCTAGATTTAGTACGAATTTGATTTTCATGAAAATTCTTAATATATATATATATTATATGATATATAATATATATAATTTATCATATAAAATTATATATATTATATATGATCAATTACATAGAGACGAAGAGAGAGAGAGACGAAGACGATCGAGAGAGTGACGAAGGCAATCAAAGCCCTAATCTCAACACTGGTCCACTGTAAGTTCTCTCAACGCTTCTTTCTCCTCTCATGTCGACGTCGAAGGCTAGGGTTTCTCTCTCTCTCTCTCTCCCCTTTCCGACCCCATCTTGGACTGAATCGCGTTTCTCTCTCCATAGAAACGTGATTCTTACACGTTTCTTTCTAGGAATCGTGGAATCGCGGAATCGCGATTCTTACTCAGAATCGGCACCTAGTTGCACGATTCCTGCAACTAAGGTATAGTCTCATGGAGTCGGTCTGATGGATTCCCAAGTCTCCCAACAATAGGTTAATCCATAGCAACTTACATACACCCTAAGCCATAGTCCTGAATTCTGCCTCAGCACTAGATCTAGTAACCACATTCTGTTTCTTACTTCGCCATGTGACTAGGTTGCCACCAACGAATATGCAATATCCGGAAGTTGATCGTCTATCAGTGACTGATCCAGGCTAATCTGCATCAGTAAATGCCTCCACACTGAGATGATCATGTTTGGAGAAATATAGGCCCTTCCTAGGAGAAGACTTCTAGGTATCTCAAGATTCTCATAACTGCTTCTAAGTGGGAAGTTCTAGGAGCATGCATAAACTGGCTAACCATGCTCACGTCAATGGCAATGTCTGGATGTAAGTGAGATAAGTATATGAGCTTGCCCACTAGTCTTTGGTATCTCCCCCTGTCCATTGGCTCTCCCTCTTGATCCTCACTTAGTTTTTGGCCTGATTCTAGAGGTGTATCACATAGTCTACCGCCAAGCATTCCAGTTTCCTTTAGCAAGTTAAGTACATACTTTCTCTGACATATGAAGATGCCATCCTTGCTCCTAGCTACTTCAATAGGCAGAATTCAGGGCTATGGCTCATGGTGTATGTGAGTTGCTATGGATTAAACTATAGTCGGGAGACTTGGGAATCCATCAGACCAACTCCATGAGACTACTGTGGCAACAAGGCCGCAATCAACATAGCTCATAATCCAGTTCAACATGATAGAACTAAGCATATGCAGATTAATTGGCACTTCATCAAGGAAAAACTCACTAGTGGAATCTGCGACGAAGATTCTACTAAGTAACCCTCGAACCCATGGCCAATCACATACCCAGAAGATCATAGTGGAAGGAAAGGCACAACTCCTCCTATGAAAGCATAAAGAAGAAAAGAAAACTTTTTTTTTTTTTTTCTTATTGCATTTTTTTTTTGGGTGTTAAACAGAGACGACAAGAAAGAAACAAGGGAAAATCAGCAACGCAACTAGGAAGAACCAACCAAAGGCATTCGTGTGGCTAACCAGAGGCTAGACGACCAACCAGAGGCTAGATGACCAGCCAGGTAGGATCGAATGCCCTAGTTGACCACCTGGGAGGCCACGAATGCCCTTGTCGACCACCTAGAAGGCTAAACTAGAGGCTAGACGACCAGTCAGGGAGGATCGAATGCCCTAGTCAACCACCTGGGCGGCCACAAATGCCCTAGTCGCACACCCAGGAGCTATTTCCACAGAGAGAGAGAAACGACGGCACTGTTAGGGCTGCCGACTATCCCAGGCAAGGGTTTGGGTGGCCTGGGTAGTCTTGCGGTGGAGGAAAGGAGGCTGTGATTGGTGTAAGATTCCCTCTATTGAGGCTCTGATACCATGTAGGTTTAGAGAAGAGAAAGAGTTAGGGAATGAGTTAGACTTCATTCCCTTTTATATTGATAATACTGAGTAATTACAGGAGAGCTATAAGGCATAATTTATGGGTCAGCCCATTACACCAATCAAGGGAGGAGAATAAGAATAAAATACAATCAATATTATTTCCTATTCTAACAGAGATTGCAAAGTTGATATATATATTTATATATATATATATATTAGTAAATATATTGCGGAGTGGATAAAAAAGGATATATGATGATGGAGAAAAAGAAGAAATTGTGAAGTGGATAAAAAGCGTTGTGTCTATTCTAAAACTGAACTACAACTAGAACTAGAAGAACATATATGGTCATGGAGAAAAACTGTACCTGACATGTCTTTGTGAGTTACGTTTTAAAAAGATGAGAAGCATTTGGTTTTCCCATATGAATATGATGAAGACATACCAGGGTGAAGAAAGTGTACTTGGAGGCATAATTAATATGAACTCCCTCAATTTTTTTATCATTTATGCAGAATAGTTGCCTCGAACCTCTTTGAAAAGGCTTGATTTCATTTTGAGTGTGCTGATGTCAGAAGCATGTTATAGTTTGTGCATGACATCTATTTTGACATTACGTCAAGTTTCAAGAGAATTTGTCTTTATGAAGTTTCGTTGTGTGAATAAACTTCTAGTGAACTTTCTATTGATTGTTATTGTACCCATTGTGAACTTTTGTCCTTAAAGGTGGAAAGAAGTACCAGATCAAAGGTTGTGCAGGCCAGGGTGGATTTGCTCAAGTATTCAAAGCATATGTCGACCGTAATCCTGATGAAGTTGTTGCGTTAAAGGTGACTGGCAGCTCAATACTTTCCGGTCACTTAATTCAGGTTCAGCAAATCAAATCTTACTAGATCATATTAAAATCTTTGATAATTTCTGTCAGATACAAAAGCCTCCTTTTTCTTGGGAGTTCTACATGTATCGTCAACTTGATGTGAGGATCCCTGAAAAGAAAGTATGCCATTTCCTGGAAATATTATCGTTCATTGGAATTTTCTGGTCATGAAACTGTTGCTGATTCTCAATAACTAATTTTACCAGAGGTCAAGTTTTGGTTTTGCTCATAGACTGCATCTGTATTCTGACTACAGCATAATTGTTTGTGACTATTTAGGACATGGGACACTTCAGGTATGTGATCATATTTCATATTTCTTGTTTGGTTCAGTTCCAGTTAAAACTTTTCTCCTTGTATTTGTGTTCATTCAAGCACATGTTGCAGGATGCAATAAATTCTAACGTGGTAATTGGTGGGTCCATGGAAGAGGTTTTATGTATTTATTACACAACAGAGATGCTATCCATGCTGGAAACTCTGCATTCTGCTGGCATTATTCATGGTGATTTCAAGCCTGATAATCTGCTTATTCGCTATGCTAGGTAATAGAACTCTTACCATCATGAATACTATGTGCAAATATTTATACTCGGAGATGAAACTTGTAGATGTGGATATCTTGGCTATTTTTTGTGCAAATATTTTAGGCTCCATTTGAAGCATATTTAGTCAAAGGGTAAATTACACTGACCTCTTATGAGGTTTGGAAAAATATAGTGGGCCCCACTAGTTTAACATAATTACACCGTGCTCCGCTGAAGTTTATAATTGTATAACAATTACCCCATTCCGTTAGTCAACTGTTAGTCTTTGCAATGGTTAGACCAAAATATGCAATGAAGTTCCTATTCACCCTTTTTTAATTGAAATAAAATATGAATATACATACAATAACAAGTACTTGTACTAAAACGCCATCACCAAGAGTCTCTCCCTCTCCTCCATATGTGACAAACCCTAATCCCACCCACACCATATTCTCCCTCTCGATCTCTCTCTCCCCTCCACCCGGTACCACACTTCCATCACCTCTCTTCTGAGAACAGAAAGTCTAGCTACCCAGAAAAATTTCCCAGATAATTGTTCAGAATTTAACATCTAAGGTGGAGCTTTGATCTACTTGTTGTGGGTCCACCTTATGAATAATAATGGCCTTAGATTTCAAAATCTGGGTTATTTTCATGGTTTGTAGACTTGCTAGAGGTGATTTTCCTGAGAAAATTTCTGGACAGGAATAAATTCCTCATAATTATATAGTTTGTGGTTGACCTGCAGTAGGGTGATGTCACCATAGGGTTCAATGGTTGCTGTTAGGAGTTACAATGTATCATAGGCATGGTATGGGTAAAATTTAACTTATCAGCACTCTTGACTCGACAACACAATCTCATGTAAGAAAATTGAACAAACAACATAAAAAATTTGTTAACATGGAATTTAACCAAAATTGACTAAAATTTTGAATTTTTTACACTAAATTTGGTTCCAAAGTCAAAATGAAAATCTTGACTAGCTTGGGCTAAAGCACTTGTCAAATACATGTGTGCCAAACTAAAGCTTCCATACACATAATAAACTACCCAAACATAATTTACTACATGAATTTCACAGTGATATTGAACAGTCTGACTTTTAAATGCGTTTTTTTTGTAATTTTTTTTTTTATATTTTTATTTTTTTTGAATCATATATCTGATTAGGAAAGATCGGAATAAAGAAGTTGTACTTCACAGACGGTGCATTGTGCATGTTAGTTTGTGTTTCATGATTTTATATTTGTCAATATTTTTTGAGCTGAGCTTCCATGTGAAATATTGAGGGAGAAATCATTAGACTGATTCAAAAAATGAACTCAAGCAAACATGCACAAATACAAAGATAAATATAGTCTTGGGGCTGCTAGAAATGTGAGGATTCTTGGCCATTTAGACATTTACTTGAAAGAGCCTGTATAAAAAAGGTAAGAACTTCATAAATATATAAAACAAACATCTGGGAATAATCATGCTGTATTTTTGTGAAAATATGATGCCTCTTCAAACTTGGAATTAGGCCTTCTAGTCAATGATCCCTCATCTTGCTTTTTTCTGTGTTCTGATCCCCTTGACTGGAGAACATGTGACCTACCCTGTATTTTACTGTTTGGTTTCCTTAAATCATATAAAATATGACGGACACTATAGGAAAAAAAACCTGTTATGTTTTCAATTATATTCATTGCTCGATATGATTTGTAAACCTTAGTGTAAAAAAAATTCAGTGCACACCAAGGGATAGGTACAAACTATGAAGCACAGGTACTTCAAAAATGGTGTTGTACGTGTACCGGGTACATACTGGGTGTGGGTACGCATGCCGGTATGGTGGTACACATGCCGGGTATGCCGAATACATGCTAGGCACGGCAAATATGTTTGGGTACGGAATGGGTACACTGAGGTGAATTTTTTTTATTTATTTATTTTTTTGTGTGCAGTTGCTAGAATTTATTGTAGCCTTTATTATTATTATTCTTTCAACTTCAAAAATCATCAAGTAATTTATTTCCAACATCCTTTACCCATGAGTCATGGTTTTGCTCTCTTTTGTATCTTATTTTAGACAATCAAAAAAGAAAAAGAAAGAATTATATAATTTTTTAGATAAACTATTCTCTTTTTAGTTTTGATATTGAAACTTTGATTTCTATATTGGATGTTTAGCTATAAATTTAAAAAAAAAAATTGACATACCCTAGCTGTACCCTGTATGTACCATACTTTTTTAAGAATTTGTCGTATTGTACCCGTACCCGCACCCACACCCGCACCTGTGCTTCATAGGGTACAAATATACCTCATAGGGTACAAATATACCATGGTGCCTATGACTGATTGATGTTTCATGTTGTCAATCTCATGAAGGTCACCATTTAAAAAATACATTCTTCTTGTGTATTTGAAAATTTCCATGGACAAACTGAGCCATGTATTGGAACAATGGTTTTTATTTTTGACTTCTGGAATGATTTCAATTAGTAACTTCAAGCTTATCAGTTTTGCAAGCAAGAGCACCATTCCTGAAGATGAACCAGTTCTTTCTCAGTGCTTACTTTGTATACTTACATCAAAAAAGATGTACATAGTACCAAGCAATTACCTGTATTTCCTTAAAATAGCTAGCTACCTCCTTAGCAACAAAATTATGGATCAGATAATTATGTCCCGGTGAGTATATTAAGAAGAGTATGGGTAACATAAAAATATATTGAATAAGATTTTAATATAGATATGGCTTAAGGGAAGACAATGCATTTTACAAAAAGGAGCATATTGTATCCTGTTTTACAATGGGTATTTTTTTTAATTTAGTGGCCTTAATAGTTGGCATCTAGTAATGTAAATGTAGTCAATCCAGGTAAATTTATATGACAGTAATTGTGTGACTTCTAATTTATTTATGCTTAGTCTTTCTTCACTGCCATTCCCCACCCAAAGAAAGAAAAAATGGAAAATAAAAAGGACCAAAAAATTGTCCCAATAATAGCTGTTGCTGTAATTTGAAAAGGTTAGGTTCCAAGTGCAATGTCAGATGTCAGCATGAAGAGTGAACATGATTAATAGGTGGATGATGCTTCATGACAATGGGACCATCCTTGGCAATTAGTCTTAGAATTTGACACATAATAAGCTTGCCTACATATTATTAGAATGATAAAGTCTGAAGTTTCTAACAGCTTATTATGCATTAAAGATAAAGGAAACTCACTCAAATGGTTTAAAAAGTCTTCTATATTTCTTCATGAATGAAGTCTTAAAAGGCTACGATGCAGCATCACAAATTGCTACAATTTTTTCATCATCAAACAAATCTATTAGTTGGAGAGAGCTTGGACAAGCACTTAAAGTCACATGTCATAATTTTCAGATGAGCCCAAAATAATGGCTTGAGATAGTACCTTTACAAGTTTAATTTTTAACTTCGGTTGTTTTAAGAAGTGTGCACATATCTCTCCTGAAATTGAACTCATACCTGCATCTGTGTTTGTTTTTATTTTCAGCATCTTTGAATGGCTAATAAATAGAATGGGTATCCAATTTTATTTGGTCCATGGATCATAATCTCCTTGTGGTATTTTGTACAAATTCTTAAAGTTTTATGTAGAAAAACATGCAAAAGATAGCCTAGTCTATTCTATTAGTGAATTGGGGTCATCATGGGTCCAGTTTTATTGTGATAATCCTTTTGGTATTAAAATAGTTCACTTGATCTTCATTGCTTTTCATTTTATGAATTGAAATCTGATGTGATCATAGACCATGTGAAATTTTAGAATCCAGTGACTTTACCTGACTTCTTGGCAGGGATGATCTTACAGAAGATGGTTTTTATGACCGTACTGGCCCTTGGCTTGATCAGGTTATTTCCAGTCAAATTGAAAATTGTTATATGATCTAATGATATATGATTTCTCACATATTTATCATTCAGGGACTTTGCCTGGTTGATTGGGGGAGAGGGATAGATCTGAGCCTCTTTCCTGATGAGATAAAGTTTTATGGAGACTGTCGGACTTCTGGTTTCCGTTGTGTTGAAATGCAAGAGAAAAAACCATGGTCTTTTCAGGTCAGTGTCCATTAAACAATTTAAATCTTTTTGGAAGTCAGATGATTGTTTTATGATTGACTATATGTTAATGGTACCATTTGACTGACTACCACAGGTAGACATTTATGGCCTATGTGTTATTGTTCATATGATGCTGCACAACTCATATATGGAAGTTGAAAAGAAAGCATCTCCTGATGGTGGTTATATTTACAAGCCTAAATCCTATTTCAAGCGGTATTTATTCTCTCATCTCTGCATACATGATACATGTAATAATTTTTGATCACGTCCTTAATATGAGAGAAGTTTCTGCTTTTAAGTTGGCTTTTCTAGATTAATCAGTACTGGAGATTTCCAATGACTTACCCAAAATGGAACAGCTGAATTCAATTTTGTTTTCCTGCATCTACTATTTTCAGCTATTGGCAAGTTCAACTGTGGAACAATCTTTTCACAAAGCTGCTTAACATTAATCCTAATGACGATTATAAGACATTATTGAAGGGTTTGAGGGAGTCATTCCAGGATTACATGAGCTCAAATCCTCAATTGATTAAAAAACTAAAGCAGTCACTGGCGAAGCAAAGGACTTCATTGTGTTCTGCCTAGTTCTTCCATCAATCATTTCTCCAGATCTTCATCTACTCATGCAACAGTGGATTTTATTTGTGCTGTTGCCTGAACTTAATCCCGGTAGCAGTAAGCTCCGTTCAGATGTCTGTGTGCGCGCGTGATTGTGTAAAGCAATATATTTGATCCCTTGCTTGTGTCAAAATTGAGAACCTGCCACATTGCCTTTTCTTACCCATGTAATGGCAGCCAAGTGAGGCTACCCCATAACTGGTGGATAGTATACTGATAATATGTTGAGTTTGGGTGAGTGAAAGGTTTGTACCACTGTTACATGTTCATTTCCTGAAGGTTATTCAGTAAAACAGGAGTTTGAAGAGTTCGCCTGCAAGTTATCATGTGGAATTCACTATCTTCTACGAATTATATCTCTGCATATGCCAACACTATGCATGTAGCATGCGTGTTGGGGGGAATTTAAATGCTGCTTTGTCTGCTGGCGGATTATGCATTATGTATAATTAACTTTTGTAAATTCAATTCAGTAGCTCTTTTCATCATCCCCTCTCTTTTGTATAATTTTTTGTATTTGCTGCTGTGATGCTGTGTAGTTTTTGCAAATATTTTGATTCAGATATTTTTATAACTTCAATCTCTCCTGATTATGCTGCCTTGCACGGAAGATACAGTGCTTAGATGCAAACAGTTGGTTAGCCTGATTTGGATATAACATATAAGCCAGAGAGTCCTATGATGGAACATATGAAATTAGTTGATATGTTCTTTCTAATAATTCAATTGTTTTTTTCTTTTCTGCCATACATTCATGTTTAACTGCCACTTGGTCACTACAATTTTCATGGTTCCAATTGGTAACAGATACTAGGGTGTTGATGGGTCGGTTTGGTTTGGTTTAACATTAAATTTAGAGCCAATCCAATCATAAACCAACCTAATCCAATGTAGCTCAGGTTGGTTTGGGTTGGAACCACGGTTTCACTATATATAAATATAAGTGAATCACTTAATAATAAATAATTTAAAAAAACAAGTCTCTAACATTTAAACATAGGGAGATTCTATTTAGACACCACAAATTGCCTTACTACACTATTTACTTTGTTCACATCTCACACAATATGAATATTTTTATTTTGTCTCAACACACTACTAATTTTCAAATAATGCCAAATTACCCCTATCTTTCCTACTAGATCCTAACCCTAACTACCTCCAATGCAACTGTCAGCCACTCTCTTACCTAGCCCTTCTCTCCTTCAATCACCCACCATCTACGGTTGCCACCTTTCCTATCGTTACCCCTTCTCAGCCTCCTTCAGTATAAAACAAGTATAACGCAACGGGTAAACAATTTCAGATCATATCTTAGGTGATAGAACTTGAAGCGAAGAATCTTGTGGGTAAATCACGTGCTTCAAAAATGTGAACAACGAACACCCAGTAGTAGAGTTATACCACAATATGAGTATCACTCACGCAAGTTACAGTGCAAAAAGCTTGATTGTTATTTTAATGAGAGAGTTAGTATGGGAAAAATCATTCGTTATTTGATTCATCCCATATCCCATTTAACATATCAGATATATAGGCTAAGTATATCATCTATCCATATCAGTTGATATGATAGATATAGATATCATGAGTGAGTTTTTAAATAGGCTATGAATTCAAATTCAAACTTACATGGATAAGGTTTAAAAAGGTCATGGGTCATGCCATATGAGCGCTCAATTTCTAACATCTCCCATTTGCACATGAGTTGGCATGATACTGTCACATCTCTATCTCAATCTCCCCAAAATGAAGAATCCCATACTAGCAAACGCACCGTGCGACTGCTGAGAACACCTGCATGTGGAAGCTCTATACTAGAAACTCAATATGAGTCAGCATAGAGACATCAACCTAAAATGAACAAAAATAGTGTCTCATGTACCCAAGCCCATCTAGCTACATCGGTCCCAAAACATTTCTAATCCCTCAAAGAGCATGTTTGACCATCCTAGGTCCCGCATTATATTCACACCCAATCAGCATCCATAGAGAGCGATGTGAGTTGTTGACAGTGAATATAGAGCAGAGATGTAGAACTAGATGATCTTTCCTTTACCTTTATATCATTTAATTTGAAATTGATCGCTTTTCCAGTAATGTCCCTTAAAGTCGAATCATACATGACCACAGACAACATACCAAAGTAGATGAACATCAACTCCTTATCTTATGACATAGTCAAATGTCACAAAAAAGGCACAAAGTGAAGTCATTTAGGAAAAAATGACTTTTAGGACTCACACGGTGAAGAAGCAGGGATCCATTCTTTCACCTCGCTAACGGGTCGATAAGTGCATGCGCAAATGCATGTTATAGTGGAGTAACTCTTCCAAAGAGTGATGTTAAACTCACACACCATACAGATCTTAGTCTAGTCGCTCTTAAGCGCACAAATCGCTTCTTAGCGTCTAACTTGAATTCTCTATTTGCTCGCCTCTCAGGCATCAAATGAGATCTCGCATTTGGCTATCCATAATAGGCACATCGTGGAAAAAGTGGGTACTCTCATATCCATGGTCGGTCTCTAACAAGACCTCATCTTGGCTCCAACCAAGGCGACATAGCTAGTGGATAATTTGCTCCAAGGATGAGACCATATCAAGGCTTAGGCTCTCACCTTTTGCAACAGGAGTGTCAATGGGTTTGCAGCTCTGCATGTGGAATCGCTTTAGGATAGTCTTAATGTAAGTCTCTTGAGACAAACCAAGAAGTCTCCTAGAGCGATCCCTAAGGATCTTAACACTGAGCACATAGCTCGCTTCACCCATGTCTTTCATCTCAAATGTAGAGAACAACAACCTTTTAGTGGCGACAATTATCTCCTTGTCATTTCCAGCCAATAATATGTCATCTACATATAATGACAATATCAAAAAAATGTCCTTGGACCGCTTAACGTACACACAGTGATCTTCATCGATCATCGTAAACCCATTAGAAACAATGGCTCGATGAAATCTCAGATTCCACTGTCTGGATGATTGCTTTAAGCCATAAATAGATCGTTGAAGCTTGCAAACTTTGCGCTCCTAACCTACTACCACAAAGCCTTCTGGTTGATCCGTATAGATCTCTTCATCCAATTCTCCATTGAGAAATGCAGTCTTAACGTCCATCTGATATAGCTGTAAGTCCAACTGAGCTACTATGGCCAGAATTAGGCGAATAGAGGCAAACCTCACAACTGGTGAAAAAGTTTCCTCATAGTCGATACTCTTTCGTTGGGTGTAACCTTTCGCCACTAGGCGAGCCTTATACCTTTTTATGGAACCATCCGCCTTGCGCTTGATTTTGAGAACCCATTTGTTCCCAATAGTCTTGCGCCTTGGCGGCAAATCAACCAAGTCCTAGACATGATTTTTCTTCATACTCTATTTCTTCATCCATTGCAGCACTTCATTCTTTACTAGCAGGGGATGAGAGAGCCTCTTTGAGATTCTTAGGCTCCATCTCATCACTCGGAGCAATCATGAATGCTTCCCTTTCAATCTCAAAACGACGACGGGGTATAGCTCCACGTTTGCTTCTATGCAGTTGAGAATCCTGAGAATATTGGATCTAATCCATAGGCAGGTAGATTGCTCCCACTGTCCCTAGGAGCTTGAGGGATTATCTCCTCATTCTCTACGAGGCTACTAGGTGCACCTTTAAGTAGATCCTCCATCTCATAGAGTTCTACATCTCTAGTTACCTCACCTCTGCTATGGAAATCCTCCTTTAGGAAATCCACATCTCATGACTCAATTTCAGTCACACTTCCATCCGGATGCTCCCCAATAAACACATAGCTCTTAGAATGCTCACTATAGCGAATGAAGATACACTTCTTTCCTCTAGGGCCCAACTTCCCAAACTTATGAGAAGCGCTATGTATGTAAGTTGCCGAACCCCAAGGCCGCAAATTGCCCAAATCAGGCTTTTTGCCAGTCCACATCTCATATGGGGTGGAAGGAACTGATTTGGAGGGCACGCGGTTAAGGATGTAGGTAGCAGTCAATAAAGCATCTCCCTAATAAAAAAATGGAAAGATTAGCTTGCGCCATCATAGATCTAACCATGTCAAGCAATGTGCGATTCCTTCTCTCTGCTACACCATTTTGTTGTGGAGTCCTAGGAATTGTCAATTGCCTGATAACTCCTTTTTCCTCACAGAGCATTTTAAATTGCTCAGATAGATACTTGCGTCCCCGGTCAGTCCTTAGAGCCTTAATGCTCTTGTTTAATTGATTCTCAAATCACATTCATTGATGATTGCACGCGTTTTGGCCATGTCTATTTGATTTCTTACAAGTCAGAAGCATTGGATTGCTTTAGACGGTATGTTAATGAGGTTGAGAATCAATTAGATAAGAGCATTAAGGCTCTAAGGGCTGACCGGGGATGCGAGTATCTATCTCAGCAATTTAAAGTGCTCTGTGAGGAAAAAGAAGTTATCAGGCAATTGACAATTCCTAGGTCTCTGCTACACCATTTTGCGGCGGAGTCCTAGGAATTGTCAATTGCCAAATAACTCCTTTTTCCTCACAGAGCACTTTAAATTGCTGAGATAGATACTCGCGTTCCCGGTCAGTCCTTAGATCCTTAATGCTTTTGTCTAATTGATTCTCAACCTCATTAACATACCGTCTAAAGCAATCCAATGCTTCTGACTTGTGAGAAATCAAATAGGCATGGCCAAAACACGTGCAATCATCTATAAATGTGACGAAATAAGGGGCTCCATGCCTTGCCCTCACATTCATTGGTCCACATATATCAGAATGAATAAGTTGTAATGGGATAGATTCCCTTTTGGCTTTCCCAAATGGTTTCCTTGTTGCCTTTCCAGCAAGACAGTGCTCACAAGTAGGCAAAGTGACTCTAGCGAGTGGGCCTAAAAGACCTTCTCTAGCCAATCTAGTCATCATGTCTTGCCCTATGTGGCCTAATCTAGCATGCCATCTCATAGAATCATTATCACAAAAAGATGCAATATTAGAAATAGAGCCATTGACATTTTTATTAAAACTAGAATTATCCACATCCAAAACTAAAAAACCATCTGAAAGATAACCAAAACCATAAAAATTTGTTCCCAAATAAATGCTAACACCATTATTCTCAAAACAAATGCTAAAACCAAGGCTCATCATGCTAATAACTGAAACTAAGTTTCGCCGAATATCCGGAGCATAAAGAATATCATGAAGATATAAGGTGCGCCCTCGTCGCATTTCCAGCTTGTATGTGCCAATGCCAAGCACCTCCACACTGGACTCGTTCCCCATGTAAACTTTTCTGCTCCCAGTAGGTACTCGGCAATACTCAACGAACCCTACTCTATCCTTCACGATGTGGTCTGTTGCTCCGGAGTCTACAACCCAAAAATGAGGAGAATGAGCAATGTATGCTTGACTAGAAACAAAGCATTGAATGCGAGAAATTAAGTAAGGGATTACCTTCTCTTGCTCAGGGCAATCCCGAGCGAAGTGTCCTTCTTTGTTAC